GTATTAGATGGGAATAAGATAAAGAGCAAATTTTCCAGAAAGAACAGAATAAAAGATGCTGGAGAACAAATAACAAAAGGAGGAATCTTCAACCAGCAGAGGACTCGAAGCAAAAACTCAAAACTTTTGTTAAATTAATAATTTAGATAAAAAGATCAAAAATGTGATTTGATGCTTTTGATCACTGTTGATAACATTCCAAAAATGTACTAGGAGGCTTAAGGGAAATGTAGAAATCTCTTTTTCAATATACTTACAATGGAAATAGAATACCTGGTTTCTAGTCTTATCCTCAGCTATTGTATGGCCTCAAGATAAAACTCTATAAATCTGTATTTATTTGTAAAATTCAGATAATTATTCCTACCAAACTCATAGTAATATTGTGAAGGTAAATGATATCACTTAAAAGGGCTGCATGAACAATTAAATATTTTTCAATTATTGGAAATTTATTTTTAAGGATGTTAGGAGATTCTTGATTGATAGAAGTAACTGTTTTCTAAATAATGCAGAGATGAGCTATTACCATAACATCTAGCTGCCATCAGAATTATTTGGACAAAGGTCTGTCAAATGTTTTATGACTCTTATTGCTCAGAAAGATTTAGAATATGCTGTAGTCTCTTTTGAACCTGAATAAATACCATTATATAAAAGAAACTGAAAACAGAATAAAGTTCTATTATAGGCATCTTAAAAATGCAAGCTAACCCCAATAATTCAATTTTTGACAGAAAAAAATACCTCTACTTCTCTGTCTATGTGGCACCCCAAAAAGTTCTATTCGTGATTGAAGAACCTTTCTGTAAAAGGTGGGAGATCTACTCTCTCTATGCTGACCACCATAATCTTAACTGTAACGGTTGGTTGGATCCAGCTGATTCCTATTCCTCTCCCTGGGGTCTTTAGGAAGATATCCAAACAATTTCTGAGAAGAAGTACACATGGAAATTGACTTTACACAGTCTCCTTGGCTGTAAACTCAAGCATGTGGGTAAAATAAACTATAGAAAACATGACCTCTGCTCCTGATTTAAATTAATGCCCCCTCACAAGTGAAATTGTAAAAATCCAGCCGGTTACATTCAGAGCTGCTTCTTTTCTCCACTTGGTTCTGGGTCACCTTCTGTTGTAACTTCTTCCATACCCAGGCATCAGCATGGTCAGAATAATCTGGGAAATGTAAGGCAGCTCTCCTCACCTACCAGCCAGAGTACAGATCATGGTTAATAAGAGCAAGCCCCAGGCTGCTCAAGCTCCGTTTGCACCACATGCTCAAGACACGCATTTCTCTCCTGGCCTTTTCTCATGTCTTGGGAATGTCTACATTGCTTCTGACTCAGGCTTTGCTTTCCATTTGGGGCTTAATTCTATCCACTGGACTTGAAGATTCATCTGGTTTTTTTCACGTTATCCCTTGGTTCGCCCAAAGATCTTTGGTTCATAATTATCATCTGGTTTTTTTGTTTGTTTTTGTTTTTGTTTTTGTTGTTTTTGTTTTTGTTTTTTTGCCATCCCTCCTAAATCCTTGTAAACAAGTTAATTAAATATTTCAAAACAACAACAATGATAATAACAGTAACAGCAGTAGCAATAAAAATACTAATAAATCTGAGTTTGACTTGGATCCCAATTTCAGTGGAAACCTTACTGTTTCTCTCTGCCCTGATCTTGACCTACTATAACCCACTCTCCACTGCTATGGTAGAGACCATCCTACTATAAGGGAAGCTCAGAGCAGTGAAGCTCTGACTCTGTGAATACCTCTCAGAAAACTAGTCCTTAATTCAGTTTCATTGTCGACAAGAGCCCATCCGGATAAACAGGAATTTAGACACTATCTGCAACAAATCCCCAGTCTTAAACTATACGTATAGATATATATTCACTCTTGTCACCCAGCTGCAGTGCAATGGTGCAATCTCGGCTCACTGTTACCTCCACCTCCTGGGTTCAAGCGATTTTCCTGCCTCAGCCTCCTGAGTAGCTGGGATTCCAGTTGCCTGCCACCACGCCCAGTTAATTTTTGTATTTTTAGTAGAGATGGGTTTTCACCATGTTGGCCAGGCTGTTCTTGTACTGCTGACCTCAGTGATCCATCCGCCTCGACCTCCCAAAGTGCTGGGATTACAGGTGAGAGCCACCACACCCAGCCAATCATTTTTTTAAGAACAAACTTTAAATAGGATCACTGTGTAATTATTACATAGTTCTTCTGGTACTGTTTATATTAGCTAAGGTACAATGTAGAAGACAATAGAGGATCACACTCTTTTATCCATCTTCTGTGAAATACTTGCTACAGTTCTGTAGTCCAAGTGAAGAATTTTCTATCTTCTCTTTCTGCTATGCTGCATGGCTTAGAATGATAAAGAAATCTTGAATTTTTTGACGGGCTCTTAATTTTCTTCTTTTACACCGTATGTCTCATCCAGGACTCTGCATTCCTTATTTTATCCTCATACCAATTACATGAGATTAATATGATAATTCCTATTTTAAGAGATGCTAAGTTGTTTCTCTAATGTCACATAGCTGGCAAAATGACAGAGCAGAATTTAAATCCTGGTCCTTCTAATATCAGGGTCTCTGTTCTTGTCATTATACCCTTGCACTTTGGATGAGAAGAGACATTCTGCCTGGGTAAAAGGGTTTCCCATGTGTAAAAGAAATGCAGTATCATGCGATAAAAAGTTCTGATGGGATCTTAAATGCATGTTACTAGGTGAAAGAAGCCAGCCAGAAAGGGCTACATGCTGTATGAGTCCAGTGACATGACATCCTGTAGAAGGCAAAATATAGATATAAGGACAGTGAAAAGATCAGTGGTTGCCAGGGGTTGGGGGAAGAAGGGATGATTAGGAAGAGCACAGGGGAGTTTTAGGGCAGTGAAACCATTATGACATCGTAATGATAGATACATGTCACGCATTTGTCAAAACCCATAGAATGTATAACACCAAGAATAAACATTAATGTAAACTATGGACTTTGGGTGATGATGATGTAGGTTCACTGATTGAATAAATGTGCCATTCTAGTGTTGGAGACTGATAGGGGAGGAGGCTGTGTTTGTGTGGGGGCAGAAAATATACAGCAGTTCTCTATACTTTCTGCTCCATTTTTCTGTGAATCTAAAGCTGCTCTAAAAAAACTAAGGTCTTTTTGTAAGAGAAAACAAAGGATTTCCCCAGTACACAGACATCACTGACTTTATGTCACTTTGCACCCTGCTCCAATTTCTATCTGTAGTCTCCCAAATATTAATCAGAGAACAACAACTAGACAAAGTAAGCAATAGAAGGAGATGCTAAAAAAAAAAAAGTAAAGGTGTCCTATGGTGTTCTGATTTTCTCTGTTTCACTTTTTCTCCCCTTCCTCTTATCTATCTTGTTGGCCTTGAGTCATTTTGTTTCTTTTATCTCCACTCTTAACCCTCTTTATTCACAAATTAAAAAGAAAAAAACAAAAACTAAACTTTTTCACTGTGCTTTTAGAATTGACTGTTCCAGTTACCATTGCTGCCAAAATTGAGTGGTATTATGCTCACAGAGTCTGTGGGTTAATAACTCAGACAGGGACAAAGGGCCCGGCTTGCCTCTGTTCTCTGATGTCAGAAACCAGAACTGGGAAGATTACAAGACTGAGCTGACTCAACAGTGAGGGTCTAGAATCATTTAAAGGAAACTTGTCCAACCCAAAGCCCACAGCCCACAGGCCACATACATCCCAGGATGGCTTTGAATGCGTCCTAAAACAAATTTGTAAACCTTTTAAAACATTATGAAATAGTTGGCATTTTTTTTTAGTTCATCAGCTATCATTAGTATTAGTGTGTTTTATGTGTGACCCAAGACCATTCTTCTTCTTCCAGTGTGGCTCAGGGAAGCCAAAAGACTGGACACCCCTGATTTAAAGCTATTTTCTTTCCAACACCTGGGTTTGGATGCTGGCTATCAGCTGACACGTCAGTTATTCTGTTAGTGAAACACTTATCCATAGGTACTCCATTGATCTTTCCATGTGGCTAGCTTGGGCTTCCTTGTGGCATCATAGCTGTGTTCCAAGAGAGAACAACCCAAAAGAGCAAGAGAAAAGTGCATGACACTTTCATGACCTAGCCTTAGAATCCCCATAGTGTCATTGATAGCATAGTCAAAGTTTCCAGAAAGGTCTACCAGTGTTCAAGAGGAAGAGACATATACTCAAACCATTGTATGGGAGGAATGTCAAGATCACATTGTAAAAACATGTAAAACAGGAGATACTATTGCTGCCATTTTTGAAGATATGATCTGCCACATAATATATATTAGATTAGATATATTTTGAAAATATAATCTGCCACATAATAAGATTTATATAATCTTATTATATATGATTGTATCTTAAATAGCTAAGTATGTACTGAATTTGAATATTTGGTTAGATTGTTCCAAATCTTTACCTCTGATTATCTGTTTCAGATTGTAAGCCACATTTGGCAGGGATAGCAATGTCAAGTTCGTTTACATCACCTCTGCCATAGCACCTTGTGCTTGACAACCATAACATGCAATATTATTACTAGCACTGCAACTGCTGATAGATACTTGCACTTGAGTGGTCATTATTTATATTTATATGCTATAGCATTTTGTATCATGTCACAGAAAATCTACACTAACCAAAAAGGCATATAGCATCTCTACTGTGTAAATAAATTCTATTACTCTAGTTAGGTCTTGGTTGCTTGAGAATAGTGCACCATTTTTTTCTACCAAGTGAATACATTTTTGTAAAGCAATAATTGAATCTGACAATGAGTTGGGGAGGAAGGGGTGACAGAACCACTACCTTAAAAGGACTATAATTTCTTTCATTTTTTTCTCAATAATTAGTTGCTTTTAATAGTTTAATAGACTGTTATTAATAAAAGGTCATCCGTGTGGGGTCTTGATGATGAATGTTTACCTCTTCTGAAAAGCTAACTAATGAAGACAATTGTCCCTTTTCAGTTGATTTCATAGGTGGCTTTGACTCTTATGGCTATCAAGGGCCCCAAAAGACATCTCATTTACAACTACAGCCTATGTACATGTAAGTATTTTACTTGCAAGGTATTCTTCTGGGGTAACTAAAGATAATCAAGTAACTATATCATGATACAAGATTGATGGCATGCAGCTTTTGTTCAATTATATACTTACAGTATTCTTTCTATTAATATTTTTTGGCTAGGATAATTTTAATAACATTTTTCCATGAATTTTTCTTATTTGACTTATAAGAAATGCCATTTCTAAAGTTACCTTTAGTCTTACATAAGTATCACCTATATGTCTCAAAATCCTATGTTAATTATCTACCACTTCTTTGATTGCCAAAAAGTTGTATTTTTTGAAAATGATATAACAATGTAAGCAGTTAAAGGTAACTATATATAAACCACATATTCTGGTTTCATTTTACAGTGGTTGTCCTGGCATAATTATTACTCTCAAAAGAGTTCTCATTTAGGTGATAAATAATAGGATCACCCTAGTTATATGTAGTGTTTTAAAAAATCAAAAACTGAGTAATACACTTTCTCTATCATTTTTCTAATGTAAAAGTAGAAATGAACTGGAGCATTAACACTGAAACTTATCGAACCCTTAACTCTAGCACTCAAGAGAGCAGACATACAATCAGAGCCTGATTTTTATATCTGTGTTTAGGCAAATTCCCTTGGATAACAACTGATAACAAATTCTATATATCAGCATCAAGTGATATGCTGAATTGCAAGCGAAGATCAAATAGAAAGTAAGATTCCAATTCATTCTGAAATGTGAACTTCTCTTTGAAGATATGTGTTTGTTGTCCTTGTCCTCCACCATTGAATCATTTTGCCTTTTAATATCTTTAGCGTGTAGGATAATAAATGGAGTTTGGGAATAAGTATTTCTCCTCCAAAGAGATTAATCTTTAAACACCCCCTTTTTAAACTCTCTTTAAAAAAAAAAAAGAATAATCTTGCACCATGCCTGTCTTTTTCTTTGAGTCCCTTGTAGTTCTCTGAAATCATTTGCTAACGGCATCCATCAAACAGACTTTAACCGTTCAGAAACCAACCAATATTTTGCTTTATTCGAAGCTCTGCACAGTGTATTACATATTTCTTCTGTTACATTCTCACAATCACTGCCCTAATTCATGCAATGTATGACCTGTTAAGTTTTTGGTCTCTGTCATTTCAGAAACCTCTATCGTATCCTCCATGTGGCTGCCAGATTAATCTTCCTAAAGTACTGCACTGATGATTTCACTTTCCTGCCTCAAAGCTATCAAGGAGTCCCTATTACCTACTGAAAAATCTAAATATCTTACTGTAGCCTGCAAGTCTACTGTGACCTGGCCCCCAGTAGTCTGTTGAAACAGTATCTGTTCTCTTCAACTCTTAATAACGTTTGAGTCCCAACTATATGCAGGTGCTGCTGGAGATATTAGGAAATGTAGTAATGAATGAGAACTAGCCTTGTCCTCCTGAATCTTGAGAGCATAAACAGTCTGATGGCTCCCCTTAGCCATTTTCTAGCCAGAGTAGAACTCTTGTCTTATCCAAATATAATATGTATTTTTCCAATTGTTTATGGTGTTCTCTTGACACCAAACATCACCTTTTTTTTCCAAATTCTACTCTTTGAAACCCCACTATCCTTTGAATTTTATCTTAAGATATATTCCTTTATGAAACACTTCTTAATCTTTTCTCCTCTAATATTTCTCTTTTATTTCTTTCACCATTGTACTACAGTTGTTTGCTATGCATGCCACACCTTCCCTCCCAGAAAAATTCTTGATAGCTACAACAACAAAAATGATCAATCCTTCACACTCTTTACCATTCTTCTCAATAGTTTATGTAACATTCTATAAAGTGTTCTATTTAAAAAGGCAGAGCAATCAGGAGTAGTGGTTAAGATGACCTACTGAAGGCATGCTCTCTGAGATTAAATTCCCTGCAACCATGAGCATGTAACTTTGTTTGAATAACTTTATTTAATCTTACCAAGCCTAAGTTTCCTCACCTGGAAAATAGAGATAACATACATACTTTATCTGATTGTTCTGAAATTATATGAAGTAATATATATAAAGCACATGAAACACAGGACATGTCACGTAGTAAGTGCTTAATAGACATAATTAATTAGTGGTAGAATAATGTTTATGTTAACATCACTCACTCATGAAAAGGCTGTATCAAGTCAGAAATGACATATACTATAGGTCATTCCTAAACGATCTCCTCTGTGAACAGTATATTACACATAACAGGGGTCCCCTGACCGCAAGTAGTCCTGGCCCATGGCCTGTTAGATGCTGAGCACAGAGCAGGAGGTGAGCGGCAGGAGAGGGAGCATTACTTCCTGAGCTCTGCCTCCTGTCAGATCAGCAGCGGCATTAGACTATCATAGCAGTGTGAACCTTATTGTGAACTGCATGGGTGAGGGATCTAGGTTTTGTGATCCTTATGAAAATCCAGTGCCTGATGATCTGAGGTAGAACAGTTTCATCCTGAAACCTTCCCTCCCAACCCCGGTCCATGGAAAAATTGTCTTCCACAAAACCAGTCTCTGGTGCCAAAAATGTTGGAGACTGCCGACATATAGTATCAGCCCAAGTAACATGTAACAATATAGTTGTGCTCAAGAGTAGAATAAGGCCAGGCATGGTGGTTAATGCCTATAATCCCAGCACTTTGGGAGGCCAAGACAGGTAGATCACCTGAGGTCAGGAGTTCGAGACCAGTTTGGCCAACATGGTGAAACCCCATCTCAACTAAAAATATAAAAGTTAGCCAGGCGTAGTGGTGCACACCTGTAATCCCAGTTACTCGGGAGGTTGAGGCTGGAGAATTGCAGGTACCTGGCAGGCAGAAGTTGCAATGAGCCAAGATCACACCACTGGATTCCAGCCTGAGTGACAAAGTGAGACCCCATCTCAAAAAAAAAAAAAAAAAAAGGAGAATAAAAGTATCTAAAAGGTTTATAATTGCTTGCTACTAATAATATCACATATTTTATTGTATTGATCAATATAAATGATCATAAATTTGATCAAGCTGTAATAAATTAGATATAATCTCTCATCTGTATAGATCAGCTATGATAACATGAGAATGCTGATTGTATATAATTTATTATTTCAGATCAAGCATTTACAGTTCTAATGGGCTTTAAAGAAGAGACTCTACAAAGATAGATATCTTTGTCTAGAATTAAATTTCTTGAGAAAGAAACTTCCCATGATTTTGTTAAAGAGAACACTTTAAATGCCAACTAATAGTTATAAAAAATACGTTGTTTTCCTCTTTACTGCATGAGACTGGTAAAGTTGTGTCAGAGCTTTCAAGTCTCACCGGTCAATGAATAAGTTAAATATTTCCTGGAATTCAAATTTAGGAAATTAGGTATACTTAAGGAAATTATGTATAAAATTGCTAGTCAGAATACTCCAATCATCCCTTCCACAAAACATCCCATAGGACACCACAGATCCTAGAACACAGAAGTTTTATTTTACAGATGAGGAAACTGAAAACAAAAGTCACACAGCTTGTTAGTGGTGCAGCTAGGATTATCAACCGGTTTTCCTGACCCCTTCATTCAGTGTTTGTTCCGAATTCTTAGACAGACAATGAGTCTGACCTGGTATCACATTCTGTGAGTTTTAATTTGCTTGTTTGTATTCTTAACACTAACTTAGCCGCCACATTTCCATACACAGCTGTGCCTCTCTCCCTTTTCTGCATTCTGTGTATTTCTTTTTTATTTTACATTATGCACTGTTGAATGAGGGCCTTTTCAACTTCATAGCCCACAAAACCAATCATTTGAGAGCCACTGTTTGTTCAAATCTAATGAAAAACCAAAACTGTCACACCTATAAACCTCATCCCCTACTGAGAGGCAGAGAACTTAGCATCTCCTATGTCTTTATCATTTAGACTGTAACTTCTGTCAACCTACCATAAATATGTCTTGTAAAGTAAGAGTAATTTAACTTCAGGGGCCAGTTCAAGCACCCTAACAATATTAGACAGCAACTGGAAACAAAAGCTGTTCTTGAAAGGAAAACAAATGTTGAAAAGTAATATGCACTTTTAGCTGTGGGGCGCCCATTCTTCCCAGAAAATCTTCTGTGGCCAAGATCCTGGGCAAAGCTTTGAAAACACGGCTGTAGCTGACCCACAGTCACAGCTGTGTTTCAGTTCCTGCAAACAATGAATAGACAGTCCTCTTCACTTAAGTTGGGTGACTGTTCTTGGTTTGTAATTTTTCAGATTTTGTATAAGTAATCTAAAAAGGAATATTTTAATTACATTTTTCTTACAGTTTGGTAAACCTTGTTGCAACAATGATAGCAACGAAGTTGCTGCATACACACACACACACACACACACACACACACACACACACACAAATCCCATGTCTACAGCTTAATTTTTTAACAAAATAGCTGCTTTGACTACCAGGGACCTATGTGACTGTCAGAGCAAGTAGAGATCTGATTGGGCTTCTGGCAATATCAGAATGTCCTATAATATATCAGACAGCATTTGAAAGCATTGCATTCTTTGTGGCAGCCTAATTGCACAGAAATGCATATTCATTTCATTTGTCCCTGGAAATAGATTCCAAATGACCAAAATTGGCCTCTCTATCCATGCAGTTGCACTGAATAAAAAGAAAAGAAGAGGAAAATTATCTATTTAAAACCAATTTGGGCTTCTTTTTTGTTTGTTTGTTTGTTTGCTCTTGTGCTTGGAAAGGTGAGAAAAGGTGGTGAGCAACAGGCACCCGTCTCTTTTCCCCTTGGCTAAAAACATCTTTTCTCTCTCTTAGGTCAAAATAATACCGATGACTTCAGTATGTCAGCCCAAGGACTTTTCAAAGAACTTTTTTCGCAGTGGCCTCCTGCATTTTATGAAGAGCAAGAAGCAACTGAGTTTAAATACATATACATATTAACAAAAGAAATACAAAGCCTCTACATACACTCACACACACACACAGACACACACACACAAACACTCACACATGAACACACACACACCAATTCCACTTGACCTCCTCTTTCTAACTGAAACAGACAAATATGCAGGACACGCCCATCTTGGATTTCCTGAAAGCAGGCTCCTTTCTCCCAGGCCTTTGGAAAGTTCAAAAGGACATGTGTTGGTGCCCAGTGGTTGCTGGCCGTTGCTAACTCCTCTGCAGCCCAGCTGGTCGGCCTCTGTGAGCTGGGAAGTCATCCAGGGCACATTAGTTTGAGAGCTCTGTCTTCTACACTCCATGCATCTTGACATCACCACGGCTATTTAGGCAATGTAATTGCAAAAACAAACAAAACATGCCATGATGACCTTGTACCCGAAGTCCGAAATGACAGATTGTTTGCCCTAAAGGCTGTACCGTACATACTTGCCTTAACCCACCTACGTTGCGTGCCCAAGAATCTCAGTGCAGACAGCTCCAAGTCACTTCCTTTAGGCTAACACACTGCTATTAATTGTGAATGAGTTCAAGTCTGTGTGTTTCATGTCAAGGAACAAGACTGACTAGCTCAGCAGCTCCAGTGTGTCTGTATAAGAAAAGTGCCAGCTGTCAGCAAAGTGCTTTACCATAGAGCCTCCGTGGTGGCCCAAAAAAGACAAGTAACAATAACAATGTTTGTCATCTTTATAATTCTAAAATATGGTCTTCTGATGGGGTTGGGGTGGGACAGAGGAAAACATTAATCTACTAAGCTCACTAATCTACTGGAAGCAGAAAGCAGAAATGGCTTAACTCGCTGATTTTATTTATTGCACTCTAGGTGCTTTTATAAGTATCTACAATTGTCTTTTACTAACACAGAAACAGCTGTGGATTTCTATCAACAGAGGCCAACTGAATATGTATTAGCTATGTTTACTCTTTTATATCTAATTCAAATTGAAGACTCTATGTAGGTGAACTTTTTTTTCTAACTTCAGCATACAAGATTATTTTTGGGTGGGTGGGGGGAGCAATAGTTACCTTGGTGAAATATTTGAGATCTTTTTGTGGTATTTGGGGGATCTGTTGTGTGTTAGAGTGTATTTCAATCCTCCTGTATTATTGTGGCAGAAAAACTGTGCTGTTAACGTAGTTGGCAACAAGATGCCTTTGGAAACTTAATAGTAGGTCAATGTGTTTATGGAATACTCTGAAGTCCTAGGAAATTTTGTTCTATATTTTAAAGCATTATTTGGTTTTCATTAGTGGAAAATATAATTATCTCAGGCTTATCAGGAGCTCAAATGAGTCATATTTTTTCTTGGATACACCTGAGACATTAAACTCAATTTTTTAAAACTAACGCACCATCCTTCGTATAGTGAAATTCAGAAGCTACAAATTGGCATGGAGCAAGTATTTTTTCTTTGATTTCTATGAAGTTTCAGTTATTGGATTAAACTACTTTGGACCTTAGCCTATTCAGATCTACATACACCAGTTCCATTACTGTGTTTGCATGGATGTCTGTAATATACACACACATATAACTTTGAAAATGATACAGGAACAAAGAGTTACCATTGGAACATAGCTATAAAAAAAAGATTCCAGCACTCATGTTTGAATTTTCTCAGTGGCTTGTATGTTTGTCCATACATACATGTATAAAATAAATAATCGCAGCCATGTCAGTGAAACCTCATATGATGCTTTTATAGTGACATGCATGTTTAATGTATGAGAAAAATATTTACCAATGTACTGTCCTTGGATTCCTAAAGTATAAATACTACACATGCCAGAAACTATTCTAATGTGACTTTTAATGTGACTATTAAAATGAGGTTTCAGTGTACATTCATGCTGCGATGAGATTTCACCTTATAGTACATGTATATGGGTACAGAAAATAAGCCCTCATATTCCTGCTTTAAGTTACAGCCAAGTTTTCACCAAATCACAACTAACATCACCACCAAAATTAAAAAAAAAAAAAAAAAAAAAAAAAAACAACAGTTGTTGACTACTAAAAAGTAATCAGTGGACAGGTCTTTTATGGGAGCGGTAAGCACAGTAGTGTGATTATATCTGGGAAAACATCTAAAGTTGTACAGCTGTATCCTCCTCAAAATCCGGTGAAGAATGCTATTTTTCTAGGCTGAGCTTTTGTTATAAACCTAATATTCAGAAGGCAAGGGTTATGATCCTGATGTGTCCCTTTTTTTTGCATTTGTTAATTCTGAATGTATTTTTAACAGAGTGATTTTTTTGACTTACTAGTGTAATTTGCATTTTAAAAATAAATGGAAAAATACTTAAGTTTCTGAGCCATCCCTGAAAACCCCTGCTGCTTCTCACACTATATTTGCTTATGCCATTGACTGGGAAACCCTATGAAATTTACATGAAGGCAACGCTGATATTTTGTGTAGTACAGGGATGTGTCAGCAGTGAAAAGAAATTGCCAGGTCATGGCATCATTTTTGCTCAGTCATAGGTAACATGGACTTTCGTTATCTGCTAACACTGAGCATTCTTTTAGAAGACTGCCTGCAATAGACATGCTGTCATTTGGAGAACGTCCCCTCCCACCCCCAGCCACCACCTTCTATCTGGGATTTAGTTAGTATCAAGCTAACAGTTGACAGAGGTCACTATATTTAAAACTCTTGGTTAATTTATAGGAATAAGTTTTTTTATTATTATTATTTTTATAGGCCAAATTATTTAAAATAATCTAAAATACTCATTTATTTCCAGTTTGATGACAGAATGTTTTGGTATTGTTATTCAAATATTGATATTCACCTCACTAGAAGACAATGTTGGGATAAAGCAGGCACACAGGAAAGATTAACCCCTGGCATTAGCGATTGCAAAAACAACATTTCAGCTGAAGTTCATCGTGTGTACCCCCCAAGGACTGAGGGCAGCAGGCACAGGCTGCGGCAGGCGCAGGGGTGTGTCCTTTCTCCCACTGCACACAGGCACACACCAGCCCCCATCAGTCAAAATGCTGCAGTGGACTGAAGACACAAAAGGCTTCAAGGCCATATTACAAGAAGCTGAAGATCAACTTGCAGTCCTCGACGTCTCTGCCACATGGAGAAAGCCTTGTAAATGAAGCACACAATAAAGCAGTTACATAAACAGGGACAAAACTAGTAGACCAACTATGTGTATATCTACTGTAAAGAAAGGATTCTTTCTTCTGGGGTTCTCAATTTAATAGGTTGTGTGTTTGTTTGGTAAAATACAGTGGAATCAGGATCTGCATCTTGATCTGTTAACTATTTAAAAATATAACCTCTGATACATTTCACTCTCCTATGCATCTGATACATTTCACTCTACTCTAAGTAGAGACCATGTTAATTCAGAAATACAAATTCATTTTAAATAGGTCACATTTTAGAAGAAATTTTTGAGACCCAAACCCATTCATTATGCAAACTAAAACCTACTAAGGAGGTTAAGGAACAATTTAATATTACCTTGTGTCCTGAAAATGCAAATAACTCATCATTGCACAGCAAATTTTAGGATATATACACTCTGGTCAGAATAGAATAAAACAAATCCCAAACTCTATCAACTTACCCTGAGTTTTAAAAAGTCAAATAAACTTTGTTAAGGAAGAAACTAAGACAGTATTAAATCATAAAATGTTTCTGAGTTATTGTGTATCAGGTTCAGGATAGTTTCAACATTAAACATATTTCACTATATAATAGTTTGTTTAAAACTGATAATCTAAATTAATACATAAACATGTACATATGGTGTGTTCTTATACATTAGTCAGACACTTATGTGTTCAGTTTCAGGGCTGTATATTTTTCTGTTATTTCATTTACAGTACACTTACGTGTAACTAATATTGGAAAGATTAAGATTACTTAAGCAGTCTCATGTCAACTATTTCCAATACTCTTCAACAAAATGTTTCTTCAGATGTTTCATCTGTCTTTGGTAAAATTTTAGCACTCCACACCTGTACTTAGGAAGCTTTTACATGAAGATCCTTACATTGTAAAATTCCAGTTATTCTCATCAAATACAAATCTTTACCCAGGATTCATTGTCCAATGCTCTTTTCCTTTTATTTATGCCTACCTTCCACCTACTCCAAGAAAGAAAAGAATAAAGTCTGATTAATATATAATGTCCAGTTTACAACATGCCAGCATCTTGAAACAATTTTGATAGCTATGAGAGCCAAATTTATAAAACATACATGTATTTTATGACTTTTAATTCAATAAAACTTGAACTAGATAATATATTCAAGGGTCACATCTACCACTGAAATTTGCACAAGTGTTAGGAGATATGACTACCCAACAAAGAAGACAAAGCTGAGTTTCTCCTAAAAAATATAAAGGCAGGTGGGTGGATCATGAGGCCATCCTGGCCAACATGATGAAACCCCATCTCTACTAAAAATACAAAAATTAGCCAGGTATGGTGACACACACCTGTGTTCCTAGCTCCGGAAGGCTGAGGTGGAAGAATTGCTTGAACCTAGGACGTGGAGGTTGCAGTGAGCTGAGATTATGCCACTACACTCCAGCCTGGCAATATAGCAAGACTCCATCTCAAAAAAAAATTTATATATATATTTATATATATATATATATATATATATATATATATATACACATATATATATATATTTAAAGGCAAATTTTTATAACGAAGGTCATTTTCTAAAAATTCTTAAATAGTATGGGGTTTAGAAGCAAATGTGCTTAAATTTTTAAAGTAATAAAAGATTTCTGTAAGACAAAATCAGAGAAAAAATCCTTTTACAAACCATATGTTGATGCTCTTATATATTCTAAATTGTTATTAAAATTAATGTGAGCATTTTCTTTAATGAAAGTACCTTAATAATGTGGCACCTTAATAACAAAACAGCTATATTTCTAACTGCTTATTCTACTCTCATATGAATTTAAACTGTAACTGCAAAGGAATAAAACAACTCCCCAAAAAGATTGCAAATTTGGGGCTGTCACCCCAAGGATGATGGATTGATTCAATTAACCAGTAAGTCTTTTCTAAGAGTCCTTCAGGGAGTTGTTTACCAGAGGCATACCCTGTTTATTCCCTTCCATAAGCCTGTCATTTTTCTTCATTATTCTTCTAGTTTTACTTACTATATCATTTGGGAATATGCTGATCTTCATGTACAGAAGGTTTTGCACACAGCTGTCCAGACGTACATCTTCCAGACTCAACCTGGGGGCCACCAGAGCACCTGAGCCTCTTGTCATTTGTTTACTCAGGCTGACCAAGATACTCTCAAGATGAAGTCAAATAGCTAGACTTAAAAAGTGTAAATCAATGGGACAGTGTCAAATTGAATGAAAGCTATGAAAAATTATTCTTAAACATAGCACCTTGTGCTCCACATACCATAGAAGTGGCTTCACCATAGATGACCTCCTATCTCCAGAAGCAGGTAGGTAGGAGGAACAGATGGCCAGGAGACCAGGACCCATGCTAATAATTCATGGTAAGACAAAAACATATTTGGTGGTTGTGTTGTTTTGGATACTGAAAGACAAATAATCTTAAACATGAAACATTTCTGCTTCCAATGGGCTAAATCACCTGTCAGTTTAAGTTGCAAAGAATAAGGATTCCATCTCACACCTGTAGGAATGGCTGTTATCAAAACAGCCTATCTTTCAACACCTATCAAAGACAGGTGTTGGCAAGGATGCAGAGAAAAGGAACCCTTGTGCACTGTTGGTGGAAACGTAAATTACTACAGCTATTATGAAAAATGATATGGAGTTCCTTAAAAATTAAAACTAGGACTACCATATGATCCAGCAATCCCATTACCGGGTATATATCCAGAGAAAATGAAATCAGCATGTCAAAGAGATATCTACACTCCCATGCTCATGGCAACATTATTCACAATAGCCAAGATACAGAATCAACCAAAGTATCCAGCAACGGATAAGTGGATTAAGAAAATGTGGTATTTGTCTATATATAAAATACATGCCTACAATGGAACACTATTCAAGTCTTACAAAAGAAGGAAATCCAGTCATTTGCAGCAATGTAGATGAGCCTAGAGGACATTATGTTAAATGAAATACACCAGACACAAAAAGACATAGACTGTATCATCTCAGTTACATGTGGAATCTAAAAAGGCTGAATTCATAGAAGCGGAGAGTAGAATGGTGGTTACCAGGGGCTGAGAGTGGGGAGAATTACAGAGATATTGGTCAAAGGATAGGAAATTTCAGTTACACAGGAGAAATAAGTTCAAGAGATCCTTGTACAACACGGTGACTGTACTTATTAATAATAACAATGCATTGAATATCTGAAGGTTGCTAAGAGAACAGATTTGGAGTGTTCTCACCACAAAAGAAAAAAAACATGGGAGGTGATGAATGGATATGTTAATTAGTTAGAATTAGCCATTCAACAATATATACTTATATCAAAACATTATGTTGTACACCATAAATACATACCATTTTTATTTTTCATCCACAGAACAGTAAGGATTCAAGGAGAAATTGTCTGCAGAGGCATCTCTTTGCTAAATCTTTCTGTCCAGCACTAGCTACATAGTTTGCCAGGCCCAGCAAGCAATGAAAATGGGCCTCTCATTCAAAGAGTAGGAAAAAAGTGCTGCCAAGGGTACTAAAGTATAAAACATTTTCCTTTAACAGTATTTTATTACTTATAAAGTATAATGAGGGTACTAATAACATGAGCAACAATATATAATTATAAAATATAAAAAAGAATGAGTGTCATAACTGTATACAATACAGCAAATATGATACTTTATTAATGGGACATCTCGATTGATTATAAGATTTTTCGGACTCACATTTCTGCAACTGTATTGATTAGATCATCAAAATGTAAACTTTCAGCCAGCTCATTTTCAATCAATACAATTGAAAAAGATGTCAGCTATTCTTAGCAAATGCATCCCAAATTTTCAAGTTTTTTAATTTTGAAAAGAATCCTTTTACTGACCCAACTGTTGCTGGAGCTATTACGAATATTTTATAGACTGAAAATATTGGGATATGTTTCTGATAAATTACTTTGAAAACAATTAGGTAAATAATTTTGAGAGATAAATTTGGGCATAAGGTGGGCAGATCACTTAATGTCAGGAGTTTGAGACTACCCTGGCCAACATGGTGAAACCTGGTCTCTACTAAAAATACAAAAATTAGCCAGGCATCGGGGTACATCCCTGTAGTCCCAGCTACTCAGAAGGCTGAGGCAGGAAAATCACTTGAACCCAGGAGGTGGAGATTGCA